GACCTATTATTTAAGTCTGGAGAGAACACTGGGAAGTCATCTGTGCAAAAAACCAGTTGCCTACCTTCTCGTAACTGTTGTTCTTCGAGATGTCCGACACCTCGGTGACCTCCTCCATCTGGATGCCCAGATTCTGAGCCACCCACCTCAGGAGTTCCAGGTGGGGGGACCCGAGGAGGTTCCTGCCACCGCCTCGTCTGGTGAAGATGACAAGGAGGCCCAAGCCAGCGAGGGTACCTCCCGCCCATCCGACTCATCAAAATGGTGCGACTCCACCCCCAACTTGGTGCCAGCTGCGGTACCTTCTGTGACACTGGCTGCAGTTCCAGTGCCGGACGTGGTGCCAGTGGTGATGGCTGTGTCAGCAGCAATGCCAGTGTCGGTTGTGGTGGCGGTGCCGGATGTGGTGCTGGATATGGTACCAGAGGTAGTGCAAGCAGCGGTAGCCGTGGCCGATGCCCGTGAGGGGTCCCTAGTGCTGGACACAGCCCTTCCCTTAGATGCAACCGAGAAGGAGAGCCCGGAGACAGACCACTGGGACTGATGGTATGCCCACAGGGTCCAAAATGGCCACTGGCCCTGCCATTGCACTGGCCACAGCACCGGGGGGAAAGTCTGCCGCTGCTTGTTCAGGGAAAGCCCCTGGTGGACCGGGCCGGTTTGTTTACCTGCCACATCCGCAGGTTCGGCCGATCGCAGCTCCCAGTGGCTGCGGTTCACTGCTCCAGGCCAATAGGGGCTGCGGGAAGCAGCGCGGGCCGAGGGACGTACTGACCACCACTTCCCTGAACAAGGGGTGGCCCTAGTTTGAGAACCACTGGCCTACAGTGTGTGTGAGTGGATTGGTTCTGTAGTGGCAGGGGAGCCATAGGCTCCCCGTTAGACTCCCCTATGCACAAGGCTCAGTAGAAATCTCTGATGACCTATATGATCCTGCACTCCCCGTCCTCCATGACACCCCAGAACTACACCCATGGTACACCCATCCCACAATAACCCCCACTCTCTCTTACCACACCCCCACAGGACAGCCATCTCCAGCAACACCCCATTGCTACAACTGCCTCCCATGGTACTCACTGTCACAATACCCCCCTCCCCACCACACAAACCTCATGACCCCCCCATACCTCCACTCCCCACCCTACAAGCCTCATGGTGCCTGTGACCAGAGTACCGGGGGGGGGGGGGGGGGGCACACTGAGATTGCTCAGTCAGGGCAAACTGCAAAGAATGGGGCAGATGATCCCCCAAACTGGTGGTTATTTCTAATACTTAGATTCACCAAGCCAGCAACAAAACAGCTTCTACAATACCTTACTGGTTACCCAGAAGCCAATACACTGTTCCCTTAAAGCAACCCAGCCTTGGGCTCCCACCCAGACAGCCAAGTCAAATATGATGAGGATTACTGAAAATCTTGTTCATCATATAAAAAGTCCTACCAATCCCAAAGAATTGAACACATTACCCCCCAGGTCAATGAATATCTCAGATCTTACCCAAATACACGCTTACAGCCAATTCTTATTAACTAAACTAAGATTTATTGAAAAATAAAAGAGAGATTATTGATTAAAAGATCATTATACATACAAGTATAAATTGAGTTCTTAGATCAGTTCACAGTAGAGATAGTGAGCTTCAGAGTTGCAAAAAGTTCTTTCAGAATTAGTTCCATAAATTATAGTCCAATGTCCAATACCCGCGTGACCCAGTCTGGAGCTGGGGACCTCAGTCTTGCAACTCAAACCTCCCTTGATGAAGCTTAAGCAGATCTGAGATAATAGGATCAGGGCTCAAGAGTCCTTTTTATAGTTCTCTAGCAGCCTCTTGATAGCAGGTGAAAAATAGGGGAAGCATTGTGGCTTTAGAAGTTACCTCCTATTTCCTAAGCATCACTGGTAATTAGCTATATGGACTAGCATAGGGCAACTGTCCATCTCCCGCCACTTACGGGGAGTTTATTACATACTTCAAACAGGAATGAAGACAATGATATTACCACATTCACAGTTCATCTAAATGTTAATATTCCCTTTTGGTCTTTGAATCAATAGAGCATAGTGACAGACAGGAAACATCTAATCCTCCACAGCTTTCCTCTACTGCAACCCACCCCTGCTCCCACTTCAATTCCCACATAGCACCCCCTTAATACTCCCATGGAATTTCCCTCACACTCTACACCATTCCCCCTGAATTGTATTAATTTACATGGACTATATAGGCCAAAGCTGTAAACGTAACCCAGTCACTGTCCAACATGAAACAGTTTTAAACCAGGTTTGATATGCAGAGACTTCAGCCTGCTTAGTACCAATGGCAAACACACCATTAAAAATCCTTCTTAACATTTTATTAGAGATACAGGAAAAAGGAAAAACATTTAAAGCGTCTGAAATGAAAAGTATTCAATAAAGTTTGCATTTGAACAGTATCCCTTGTTCCCTTTCCTTGGAGAGAGTTCTTAAGTCCTTGTTTGACAGTCTCTTAGCTGGTATCAAAGATGGTTCTTTTGGGAGAAAAGAGAAGAAGGCCCAGCCTGCATTAACGCTACAAGTCGATGTACGTTACGCTACTTAAGCTATGTCAGTTACATCACTGAAGTCGACTTAATGTGGTGTCTTCACCACGCTGTGAAGAAAGGAAAGCATCTCCCATTGACGTGGCTTCCACCTCTCATTAAGGTGGATGAATTAAGTCGATCGGAGAGCTCTCTCACGTTGACTTATCACATCTTCACCAGACCCGCTAAATCAACGCCACTGCATCGATCGCAGCAGTGCTGATTTAGTGCGTAGTGTAGACAAGGCCTTCGTTGAGATGGGCTGGAGCTGTTGTTTAAGTCCAATCCTGTTTCCTAAGGAGATAAACACACACAAAAAGGGAGAGAAAAGAACAGCGAAGATGGAAAATGCAGCTTCTGTCTCTGGGGTTGGCTCTCACTCGCAATGTCACTGCTGGAAAAACAGGCACAGCGCATGGTCTGATCAGCCACTCCAAGACCTGGCAAACTTGCAATCGCATCAGGCTGTTTAGGGCATTGCATTTAGCTGCCTCTTTCTGGTCACAGGTTTACAGCATGTTGCAAAATATACAAGCTTGGCCAGCTAAACCAGACACCTTTTAGCCAGAAGGCAAAAGAAGAGAGAGAGATACAAGAAAGAGAAGAAATAAGGCCAAGGAAAAGGAAACATGGAGGGGTGGAAGTGAGAGTTTCACATCTCAGGGATTCAGCTGGTGGAAGTGGCGACATCGTCCAGGTCCCTCTCTGTGACCCAGTCTGCTCAGGAATCTCAGGATTAGGACGAAGACGGCCTGGGGTCCCAGATGACAGTGTGGGCAACAGCAACGATAGTGAGGCTCGCTTCAGGAGCCAAATTTTTCTCCCCAAACTCTTTCTTTAAGGGTCTCAAAAAGGGACAATGGGTGGAACAGCCCATCCCCTCGTTCCTTTGGCCACCATGTAGGCTTAATTTCCAACACACCAGTTTTAGTTCATCAATTTCCTGTCTCACGCTCTGTTAAGATCATTCTTGGTCAACAAGGCACAGTTCTGGAGTTACAATAGGAGCTCGTTTTGTTTGGACTAATTCAGTCTGTCACCCTTTCTCAACTCTGTTGTCACAGGATATTGTGAGACTTTATGAACTTTCCCTCTCTTTTCACGCTGAACGCACAATAAGAGTACATTTGTAGGCCCAATTTTCACCACACCGCACACCACCCCCTCCTACAACATCACATATTTCCCCCTCCCCATGGAACCCTACCCACACAAACAGTTCCTCCACAGTATCCCGTATCTGCTACACCCCTTTATACCCCTGTGACGGGTTGGGTCACAGAGACTCCCTTGAGACTGCCACCTGATGTGCTGAGACTACCTCTGAGCCCATTTTCCCTGGAAGCTTGGGACTTCAGTACCCTGTCTTGTTGCGCCAGACATGCTAGCCTGCTACAAACCCAGACCCAGGTCTGAACCATGTCCCCTACAAGCTGCAGACTTAACTGAAAACAGCTTAAGAAGTGCTCCTGTGTCCAGCACCCAGACACCCAGTTCCCAATTGGATCCAAACCCAAATAAATCCATTTTACTCTGTATAAAGCTTATACAGGGTAAACTCATAAATGGTTCGCCCTCTATAACACTGATAGAGAGATATGCACAGCTGTTTTCTCCCCAAGGAATTAATCACTAACTCTGGGTCAATTAATAGGCAAGCCTGGATTTTGACTCTCTAACGCAGGCTTGTTTCTGTATTTTGCATCCTGGCAGAGTTCGTCTACACAAATGTCCATCCAGCTGGCAGTAATCTGAGAAAAGGCATGGCCTCATTACAACACTGGCTAAATCCTAGGCAGATGCTAAGCAGTTCCATATTGATCGAGGGTCTCGCCTGGCTATTAATGCTGAACAGGAACAGGTACGCCAACCTCACAGTTTTCGACTGCAAATCAAGCACAATAGAAAGAAAGAAGCACAAGAAACCAGATTCTGCTTGCAGCTATCTTGACGTGAATCCGGAGTAACTCCACTGACTAATTCTGGATTTGTATCAGTCGAAACTGAGAGGAGAAGCTGGCCCAAGTTCTCCCAGGCTGGGAAATGCCAAGCCTTTGGGTTTGGGGGAAGGACAGCAAAATGAAATCTTTTCCCACCTTTTATTAACTGGATAGATTTGCCCATTCTTTGGCGCTCTGCTCCCAATCCCACTCCCACTGAAGTCAATGGGAAAACTCCAGTTGACTTCAACTGGAGCAGAATCAGGCCCTCATTCAAGACTTTAGTGTGGAGACTGCAACCACTTGGGTGAAGTAATAATTAAACACGTGAAACACTGCCTTCCCCTACCCCATACAAGCCATAGAGTAGCAGCTATCAGAGGATATTGGAGATAAGCAGCTTCCTCTTCTTTGTAAAAAAGGGGACTTCTGGTGCTGGGAATGGAGCTGGGCTTTATTTTCCCCCACATGCAGTAGTAGTCTCCACTTTTTCAGGAGGACTTTTCCCATGCCTGGAAAGAAAGCAAAGATGTGATGACACGGTCAAGGAAACCTGAGTGTTTAATGTTGAAAAGGGGGACTCTCTCTGGAAGGCAGTAGACAAAGTTCCTGGATTCTTTCCCTCTGGGGTGAAGGAACCAGGAGAAATTCCTTGCAGTGCTGTCTCCTCACTGGGGCCAGTCCATCTGCACTAATTAAGCACACCATACAACAAAAACACTAACCCAGGAACCTATCCTTGCAACAAAGCCCAATGCCAGCTCTGTCCACATATCTATTCAAGTGACACCATCATAGGACCTAACCATATCAGCCACACCATCAGGGGCTCGTTCACCTGCACATCTACCAACATGATATATGCCATCATGTGCCAGCAATGCCCCTCTGCCATGTACATTGGCCAAACTGGACAGTCCCTACGCAAAAGAATAAGTGGACACAAATCTGACATCAGGAATCATAACATTCAAAAACCAGTGGGAGAACACTTCAACCTCTCTAATCACTCAGTGACAGACTTGAAGGTGTCCGTTTTGCAACAAAAAAAACTTCAAAAACAGACTCCAAAGAGAGACTGCTGAACTCGAATTAATATGCAAATTAGACACAATTAACTTAGGTCTAAACAGAGACTGGGAATGGTTGGGTCATTACACTAATTGAATTTTTTTTCCCCCATGTTAAGTTCTCCTAACACCTTCTATGGGTCATCTCGATTATCACTTCAAAGTTTTTTCTTCTGCTGCTACTGATAGCTCATCTCAATTGATTGGCCTCTTACAATTGGTATGCGTACTTCCACCTTTTCATGTTCTCTGTATGTATAAATATCTTCTGTCTGTGTGTTTCACTCTATGCATCTGAAGAAGTGAGCTGTAGCCCACGAAAGCTTATGCTGAAATAAATAAGTTAGTCTCTAAGGTGCCACAAGTACTCCTGTTCTTTTTACAGAGCTCAAAAGAAAACCCAAGGAAGGAAATATAAAGGGAGGTTGCTATTTAAAATGATTTCTCTGCTGGTCAGAACAGTAACCATGGGCATATGGGATTCCCCCAGGTCTGGATGTGAGAAATACCCAGTAGCTAACACTCCCAATGCTGTTCTCAGCTGGACTACAACAAGGCACCAGTCACTTGGGGGACAAAGCGAGCTATATACTATAATGATAGGCCCACTAGAAAAGCATCATTGGAAAAAGCAGAAAGATATTTATTAGTAGATAGATCTAGATATTTAAGGGGAGACAGTGTTGCCTAGTGAATAGGGCACTGGCCTGGGCCTCGAGACCTGGGCTTGTTCAATTCCCCTCTCTGCAACCGGTTTGGTGGGTGACCACCAACGAGTCGCGCCTCCATGTGCCTCAGTTTCCCTTATGTAAAATGGGAATAATTACACTGACCAACTTTGAGATCTACAAATAAAAAGCGCTGTAAAAGAGCTAGGAATTATTGTTATAATTATTCTGATTTATACAAAATAAAAGAGCACCTCTTCTATTCTCAAGGTGCCTTAAACAATCACTAGCTACAATCCAGTAGTATAAACCCAGCAGCCTAAAGATAACCAGACGGAAGGAAAATTCAAAATAACCCAGTTTTTCCACAGAACCAGCTTTGATCCCTCAGTCCCGCCAACCCTCTCTCATATACAGCCAATAGATACAGAAGACACAGCAGGCATCTGTTTATTATCACTAGAGTAGATGGAGATAGATATAGAGTAAGTAGATATTATTGGGTTGGCCTATAACAATTTTGGCCATTCGATATAGTAGATAACTACATAGCAGTGAGGCTGCTAAAACTAGACCCTGTTTGATGGATGTGTCCTCAAGGCCGGCATTGGAGAAGAGATCAGCACCACTTACAGTTCCAGAGGTCATGGGGATAGCTGACATAGATAGCCCGGAACTCTGAGACTTGGTTCTGTTTTTTTCAATCCTTCTGATCCATCTCTTGTACTCCTCTCTCACCTAGAAAAATATGGAACACGCTCATTGGCTCATGTAACCAATGCCCCATGAGAAGCTCGGACAGTTTTACACCACTCGGTCCTAAACCTGAAGAGAGCAAAAGAACTGAATTTTTTGTGACCATCTTCCCTGCTGCAAATTCCAACACGTAAAGGGAAGGGGGATGAGCGGCCCTCCATCCCCTAGTTGCAATGAGCCACATTCTGACTTCAGTCACAGCCAGGCAACATCACTGACTTCATCAGGTTGCAAAGTCTGAATCGAAATTTAGCCTAGGAAATGCAAGTTGATACAGCTCCCACCAAACGACATGTTAATGGGCTTGCTCCAGGATTAACCTGGGGAAATTCTATGACCTTCGTTACACAGGTTAGGCCATGTCTACACCACCACTTATGGTCAACAACATTTATGTCACTCAGGGGTGTGGAAAAACACACGCCTGAATGACATAATTTCACTGGTATAAGTGGCAGTGTGCACAACACTCTGTCGGCGGGAGAGCTTCTCTCACCAACATAACTAAAAGAAGCTGACAAGAAGTGGAAGCTTGGACAAATGACCAGGGAGGAGTATATAAATATTGCTCAGGCATGCAGGAGGGAAATCAGGAAGGCCAAATTACAACTGGAGTTGTAGCTAGCAAGGGATGTTAAGAGTAACAAGAAGGGTTTCTACAGGTATGTTAGCAACAAGAAGAAGGTCAGGGAAAGTGTGGGCCCCTTACTGAATGAGGGAGGCAACCTAGTGATAGAGGATGTGGAAAAAGCTAATGTACTCAATGCTTTTTTTGCCTCTGTCTTCACGAACAAGGTCAGCTCCCAGATTGCTACACTGGGCAGCACAGCATGGGGAGGAGGTGACCAGCCCTCTGTGGAGAAAGAAGTGGTTCAGGACTATTTAGAAAAACTGGACGAGCACAAGTCCATGGGGCCGGATGTGTTGAATCAGAGGGTGCTAAAGGAGTTGGCGGATGTGATTGCAGAGCCATTGGCCATTATCTTTGAAAACTCATAGAGATCGGGGGTGGTCCCGGATGACTGGAAAAAGGCTAATATAGTGCCCATCTTTTAAAAAGGGAAGGAGGAGGATCTGGGGAACTACAGGACAGTCAGCCGCACCTCAGACCCTGGAAAAATCATGGAGCAGGTCCTCAAGGAATCAATTTTGAAGCACTTCGAGGAGAAGAAAGTGATCAGGAACAGTCAGCATGGATTCACCAAGGGCAAGTCATGCCTGACTAACCTAATTGCCTTCTATGATGAGATAACTGGATCTGTGGATGAGGGGAAAGCAGTGGACGCATTTTCCTTGACTTTAGCAAGTTTGCAGATGACATTAAATTGGGAGGAGTGGTAGATACACTGGAGGGTAGGGATAGGATACAGAGGGACCTAGACAAATTAGAGGATTGGGCCAAAGAAATCTGATGAGGTTCAACAAGAACAAGTGCAGAGTCCTGCACTTAGGACGGAAGAATCCCATGCACTGCTACACACTAGGGACCGAGCGGCTAGGCAGCAGTTATGCAGAAAAGGACCTAAGGGTTACAGTGGACAAGAAGCTGGATATGAGTCAACAGTTTGCCCTTGTTGCCAAGAAGGCTAACAGCATTTTGGGCTGAGTAAGTAGGCGCATTGCCAGCAGATCGAGGGACGTGATCATTCCACTCAATTTGGCATTGGTGAGGCCTCATCTGGAGTACTGTGTCCAGTTTTGGGCCTCACACTACAAGAAGGATGTGGAAAAATTGGAAAGAGTCCAGCGGAGGGCCACAAAAGTGATTAGGGGGCTGGAGCACATGACTTATGAGGAGAGGCTGAGGGAACTGGGATTATTTAGTCGGCAGAAGAGAAGAATGAGGGGGGATTTGATAGCTGCTTTCAACTACCTGAAGGGGGATTCCAAAGAGGATGGATCTAGACTGTTCTCAGTGGTACCAGAAGACAGAACAAGGAGTAATGGTCTCAAGTTGCAGTGGGGAAGGTTTAGGTTGGATAAGAGGAAAAAACTTTTTCACTAGGAGGCTGGTGAAGCACTGGAATGGGTTACCTTGGGAGGTGGTGGAATCTCCTTCCTTAGAGGTTTTTAAGGTCAGGCTTGATAAAGCGCTGGCTGGGATGATTTAGTTGGGGATTGGTCCTGCTTTGAGCAGGGGGTTGGGCTAGATGACCTCCTGAGGTCCCTTTCAACCCTAATATTCTATGATTCTATGATCCTATGAACCACTGCCGCTTGTTGGGGGTGGTTTAATTACGTCGACAGGAGAGCTCTCTCCCATCCGCATATAGGGGCTACAGGAGAGATCTTATAGCAGCGCAACTGCATAGGTACAGCTGTGCCACTCTAAGGTCTCTAGTGTAGATGTAACGCTTGCCTGCTTGGTGTGGTGCTGTGCCCCCTCTAGTGGCAGCTAGTTCAGCTAGAGATTAATGAGTCTGCTACAGCCTTAACTAAGAGCATGTGGCTTTTAGCCCATGCAGTAGAGGCTCATGCATTTAGTTCCCGAGGTCCCAGGTTCGATCGCACCCACCAGGGGCTGTCTGTGTTATATAGACATGGTCCCTCCTGGCCTTAACAAAATCTGGGACTCTATGAAAACAGCACAATATAAGCTGCAGGAGAAAAGAGACTGGAGGAGAAAGGCTGAAGGTCAAAATAGAGGAAGGAGCATCAGGCACGGAAGACTTGAAAAGAGTGAAACCAAGACAAATGTGAACAAAGAAGCTCTGCTGGCTGGACATTAATGGAGCTGAACAGGTAACAGGGCATTGGCTTTACCTGCTGATTGAGGAGACAGTGCACCAGGAAGATGAAGGCTCCCTGCAGGCTGTTGACGATGGTGAATAAATACGCCATGACCGTGGCTGCTGGGCCGACTTGGAGGAGACCAAGGCTCCATGTGCAGCCCAGAATGAAGAGCTGGGCGATGGCTTTAAATGTCAGTAACCTGGAGTAAAGCAGATGGAGAGAGCCCATTACAACCCTATGCAGAGAGACCAAGTCAGTGGGCTCTGAGCAGGATGGCTTACGCCCTCCAAGTAGCAACTATGCAAAATTCCCCTAGGGACCACTGGTGGGTAATGCTTCTAGATAGGGATTCTGCAAACAGGCCCTATGCCAACCAGGTTAGAATGGCTTCTACCATCCCCTTCACGCTCTATGGACCTGCTCCAAAGCGCAGAGAGAGACTGCCATTGACTTCACGGAGTTTGGATCAGGCCCTTGTTTGCCACCCCTTCTGCATCTTGTTCATTTCCTGATTTTGCTGCAAGCAGGCTCTGGCCATCAGTACCACACATCTGGGGGCAGTTGTCATTTCAATGAGCTGGGCCAGTGAAGGTTTTACCTGTTCTATAATTCCAGGTAGGTATTTCTCCCCCCTTTTTTATTCCTGGTACTTGAAGTGAAGTATCAGAGCATCTTATAACCTTGAAGATATTTACCTTCAGAACCACTCTGTGAGGTAGGACGGTGCCCTTATCCCCATTTTCCAGATGGAGAACCAAGGCATAGCAAGAGTAAGTAACTTGCCCAACATCACATAGGAAGGCTGTGTCGGAGCAGGAAGTTGAACCCTGGTCACTCACATCCCAGACTAGCACCCTAAGCACTGAATCATCCTTTTTCTCCCGTTCTGATTGATTTGGAAACCGCTATAATAAAGCCCTGCAAGGAGAACACTACATTCGCTAGAAACCATGGCTTGCCATTAAAGATTTGGTTCATTAGTCCTTATACCTCACTCATGATATGGAATAGGTCGCTAAATGATCGAAGGGATTGTCGTGTGCCCATTGCTGTAGCATGTCAGAGTACAATGCAGACTGACGGAACCAGATACTAAAGTCAGCAGACAGCAAAAGCGGCCTTTTGCCAAACCAGGCAGATTCAGCCTTTTTGTAACTTCCTTGGTTTCAGCAGAGTTACAGATTTTACCTAAGATTAATTCACGTATAGATATTTGTATAGCACCCAGCATTGTAACATCTGACTTAAACCTGTGTTCTGTTCCTAGCTCTGTCACTGGCCTGTGGTGTAACACTGACCACGTCAATTTTCCTCTGTTTCCCCTCACATCCGTTTTGTAGCGCAGGCAGTGAGTATATAACCGTGCAGTAATAATAGTTACATAGTAAGAATAAAGGGCTAGGGAATGAGTAGCAAAAACACAAAATACCTGTTGACCAACACCTATAAAATAACTTTAGCAGTTAGCATAAGTGCAAGGCCTTACAGCCTAAGTAGAAGTAGTTGCTCAATACATTAGCATAAGTCAGTAAACTAACAGTTATCATAAGTCACAAAATGGCAAAAGGCTTTTTGTTTCTTCTTTTGTAATAATCACGTGTGTTGCAAACCGTTGATGGGTAACTGCAAAAAGACAAAAACCAGTTTCAAGTATTTTTAAAGGAGGATATCAGCAAATGCCTAACCGCAGGTAACCACAGTAATCCAATTAACGTATGTTAATGACCTTAACCAAGTTAATATACTTACCTATAGAATAAGAACACCCCAACAATCTAAGGGTAAATACATTAAAATATGGTTTAAAAAAAAAGTTCTGTGTACATATGCATAAAAAATACCAAGGCCTATAAAACATCTAGTCTCTGGAACAGCCGTTAAAATTCTTCATCAGCATCTCAAAAACCAAAATCTGTCTCAATCCTTAAATCTCTCCCCCAAAATAAAGTAGTATATACAGGTAATGGGCCTGGTCGCTCTCACGCTGTTATACTATCTCACTGGTTTAAATTGCTTTACTTAAACTAGTCATTGTGATAATAAAACATTGACAGTTACAGAAGGTCTTCGCTAAGTGCAAGTGTTTTTATTGCTGTGCCCACCCTCCTCAAATTAGGTCTCTTCTCACCGTTGTCAGTTACAAATCCCAGCGACCATGGCCACATGTCCAGCTCTTCCAGAAAACACGGCTTTAGCAATTACATACCAAGAATCACTGTGCAGTTTTCCTCATGCTGTCTCAGCTGTGCATAGCAAAAGGCATCAAACTAGGCTGAACAAAACACTAGAAAAAGCGTCCTTCCTGGAGGAGAGAATCCTGCACTGAATGAGGAAAATGGGACTGCATGATCTAACACATCTTCTCCATTCCTGATATCTATAACTTTCTGCTTGACTGAAAGGGCTAAGAGTTCTTACACTAGCCAAAAGAGAAGATGCAGGAGGATCTAACAGAAAACTCTGTACAAGGCAGTCTTGATTATCCATACTTCAGTTATGCAGAACAAGGATTCCCCCAGTTTGTTAATTACATTGAAAATTCCCTTGATTTTAGAGGAAGGATGATGTAGTGGTTAGTGCCCTAATCTAGTACTTGGGAGACCTAGGTTCAATTCTGTCCTCTGCCACAGATTTTGTGTGTGACCTTGGGCAAGTCATTTAGCCTCTATGTGCCTCAATTCCCCATCTGTATAATGGGGATAAGAGCCCTGTCTCGCCTCACAGGGGTGTTGGAGGATCAATGCATTAAAGATCGTGAAGCGCTCTGAGATCTGTGGGTGAAAAGTGCTACATAAAAGCCAGCATACGAAATAGGAGCCCAATCCCATGAGGTGCTCAGCACCTCCTAAAAGGTGCTGCATACCCTCATCTCTGACCTAAGTCAATAGGCACTGAAGGTTCTCAGCTGCTTGCAGCACCAGGTATTCAGTGTTCTGTTCTCCATGACTTTCTGATACCAAGTCTGTATCACGCTGGTATTTCCTCAGTTTAATTGAGCCAAGAGCATCTGTAGCAACCCCCCCCTGCAGAAGACTAACTGGACCTCTCAGGCAGGTTCAGTGCTTTCCTACCTTGTGTTTTTGAGGGTGGAGACATCTGTATTGAGGGAGGAGATTTTGTCTCTCAGGAGCCAGAGGGTTGTGATAAAAAATGCTAAATTCATCTGTGGAAACAACACAACAACTCGAGTGGATCAGACCCCAGGTCCATCTAGTCCAGTATTCTGCCTCTGACCGTGGCCAGTACCAAGTGCTTCAGAGGCATGGATAATCTGCCCCCTATATTAGTTCTCCTCTTGCTCTTTGGTAGCTACAGCTTGATTTAAATCCTGAAGCCTGGGGTTTAATATCCCTTCCAGAACTTTCGTTAGCCCTGATTAGAACAACTCTGGATATTATTCTTGCTACCCATATAAATGCCCAATTTCTTTTTGAATCTTGTTAAAATTCTTCATGTATTCACAGGGCCTAGCACAATGGTACTTTGACCCCGGATGTGAGCCCGCAGCTGCGATTGTCATCTGAATCCTCCCTGCACCACAAGACATCACTTAGGGCACAGATAAGGCTCCGCCATCCCTCTCTGTTCTGAGCTGCTGTCTGTCCTCTGTGTTACGTTCCATAAACTTTCCCTCTCTATGTATTGTTGGATCATGGAAGGATTCTTTCAGCTGCCCTCTTGTCCATGTTCTTCCGGCTGCCCAGTTTCACATCTGACATAGCCGAAGCTCTGGTTTCATTCATAACACCTAGCCCAGATATTTCCGTCTTCTCTTCTGGATAACTTTGGAACTAAGGAGGTGCTGAACTCTGACAAATCCCAGCATTTGGTATAAATTCGTTCCACTCCATTGGAAACACATCGTGTGTGATTTATTAATTATTTATGAATTTACTGTAATACAAATAAAGAAGGTGACATTGTTACCTTGTCACTTTCCAGAGAGTAAATCCACGGTAGCTAGGCCACAACTCGCTCCTTAAGCAAACGTCCCAATGTCTGACTCATCTCACTATCAAAGTCCTTTCCCTGCGGCATACACATAATTCATCCTTTCCCATTATCCGTTGAAGAGAGGAGAAGAAAAGGAATATACTCACCACAATAATAAGGCAGACCGGTCCAAGGAAACTCCAGACAAAGCCTCCCTCTATTGTGAGCCAGCAGCTAAAAGGCAAGAAGAAAAAAGGGTAACAAATTATCCCTGGCATTAAAATGAAGTGAATTCTCTCCTTTTGGTTGTCAGAGTTGATATCTGGGTGGGAGATGCAGGGTGAACGCTGCCTGCTTCCCTTTATGACAGTCTCATGGATGTAGCTTGCAGAAATTAGTCTTTTAAGAACATAACAATGGCCATACTGGGTCAGACCAAAGGTCCATCTAGCCCAGTATCCTGTCTTCCGACAGTGACCAATGCCAGGTGTCCCAAAGGGAATGAACAGAACAGGGAATCAACAATTGATCCATCCTCTATGGCCCATTGCCAACTTCTGGCAAACAGAGGCTAGGAACACCATCCCTGCCCATCCTGGCTAATAGCCATCAATGGACCTATCCTCCATGAATTTATCTAGTTCTTTTTTGAACCCTGTTATAGTCTTGGCCTTCACAACATCCTCTGGAAAGGAGTTCCACAGGTTGACTGTGCGTTGTGTGAAACATGTGAAGAAACGGGGATTGTAGAATATATTGTTTCTCTGTAATTCAGCCAATGAGTTGAGTGGGCAATGAGATATCTGTTCTCCCTCTGGGATGGGCTCTGCACGTACTGTGTGGAAGTTCCATAGCCTTTGTGATTCACCGCTGCAGAAATAGCCACCACCAGGGCTGGGAATCCGTAGCCGAACGGGTACATGAATCTCTTCTTGAACCGGCCGGCGCTGGTGTAATTCACAACCTTCAGGTTCCTGACGGTGAGGAAGAGGTGCAGCCCTTCTAGGAACATCCAGGTGAAACAGGCCAGGAAGAGGAAGTGTAGGAGGCCAGCAATGACAGCACACGCCACCTGGAGGAGACAAAGAGCTCAGGGACACTGAACATCTAGCTCTCCGAGATAGGGGAAGCGTTAGTTATTTGATGTGTCCCCTCCAAACTGGGGAGAAAATGGCATCCATGAAATATTTAACAAATCCCTAGGACATCTGGGACTACACACTGCATACTGTGGCCATTCAACTTCATCACAGCACGAGGGGTAGAACTCAGATCCTCCTGGTCCAAAAGCACTAGCTCCTACCTCGTAAACTAAAAGAGAATCTCCATTAGTGGTTAACAATATAGGGCTTATGACACGTATTGAGACAGGCTGCTCTGAGTTCACTTCCCAACCCTGCCACCGACTTCACGTGTGATCTTGGGCAAGTCAATTAATCTCCCTGTGCCTCAGATCCCCATCTGTAAAATGGGGATAATGGAATTCTGTCCCCCATTCGTTGTCTCATCTGCTTAGACCATAAGCTCTTCAGGGTAGCAAATGTCTCTTCCTCTATGTGCAGTGCCCAGCACAATGGAGCTCTGTTTTCAGTTGGGTCTCGTTGGCTACTATAATGCAAATAAACGACTATAATAGTTGAGGCAGTTCTGATCCCATCCAATAGAGGGCAGCGCTGTTTCACTCACACCAGATACTAGGTCACAATATTTTTTTTTTCTGGCAAGAACTCAGGGCAAGGAGTAAACCAAGGAAACACACAGACTGAAACATATGCACTGTCCTCACTCTCGGAGCCAGCTCATATTCACAGCTATATGTATTCCACCTGTGGGCGAAGGGCATTTTTTAATCTTGGGAAAGCTGCATCAGCCCAAATGTGCATCTTCAGCTGTTTGTGGTTGTGAAGTTGATACCCTAAGTTGCTCAGTCCAGGGTCCCTCCTATGGCTGGGGAGCTGAGGCCAAGGGATAATTAAACTCTGGTGTCCGATTCTGATTTTACTGATGCTGGTGTAAATCTGGGGCACCTCCATTGAGGCCAGTGGTGTCAAAGCAGTGTGAGCAAGTTCAGAATCCGGACCACTGAATTTATTCTGGGCATTGTGATACCAGGCATGCGAAGGGGCCCAAGGGCAAAACCAACCCATCTTGATTATTAGTGCTTCACACAGGTCGCGGCTTGCAGTCTGTATGCATTGCATGCATGTTCCTTGTATTCCTCCATCCATCCCTCCCCCCACAAGCTGTCTGTGCCCTCATCCCATTCTCCTCTTCTTCAAGGACCCCCTGCAAGTCCCCACATGCCTGGACTCATGCCAGGAGAGATGACAGTGGTGGGGTGGGGGTTGGTGGGAACATACCATTGTCCTGCATTCATCATCCCTTGGTAGGGTCTCTGTGTGGTCCCCTATGCTTCCTCTTCCCCCCCCCCATACCAGGGCTGTGTCCCTCCCCCCTCCCAATGTCTTCTCTCCACATGCCATTGTCCCTTATTCGCTGTCCCCCCCATCCTCCCCTGGTAGGTCTCTGTCGCCCTGCCCTGCTTCCTTCCTCTTCCCCCCATGTCAAGGGCTCCATATGTGCCCCATTCCCCCTCATTATTTCACTACAGGATCACTTAGGGGCCCCAAACAAGTTCAAGGAACCGTCGTGCTCAGCGCTGTACAAACACCCAGTAAAAGTGTGTCTACACTGCAGCTGGGAGCATGCGTCCCCAGGCAGCAGCCCAGGCTAGCCACCCAAGTACAATCACGTCCGACCCTCTGGATACTTACTCGGGCAGCTGGCCCAAGCTGCTGAGGCCCCATTGCTATTTTGAGTGCGTTAGCTCAAGTGGAGCTAGCATGTGTCTGTCTGTCCACTCTGGGAGCCACCCCCCGCCCCAGCTGCAGTGGAGACCTATCTTTGAAGAACTTACGAGCTAAATAGACAGGATAGATAAGGGGGGGGTGGATTTTGGATGATTTCTCTACCTTATTGGTGACGCTGTCCACTGCGGTGAGGAAGAGCAGGTCGGCCAGGAAGAGGCAGAGGCAGAGCTGCAGGTGGAGGGAGGTGCTGACGTTGCGGATGGAGCGGCACAGGAGGAAGGTGATGATGGCGAGGAAGAGGCACAGCAGGGAGAGGGTCAGTCCCACATAGGTGATGATGGTCAGTGGGGAACTCTCCTGCAAAAGGAAAAATTAAAGGAAGTGTAAAGTTTGGAAATCACGCTGGAGAAACAGGGGCTTTGAAATAACCAGATAATTTCCCAGGGCAATCAGATCTCTAGCTCCGTTGTTGGAGAACATGGAGGACCCATCTCCTCCCTGCCCCTTTAAATAAAAATAAAATAAATAAATTAATGGAGATATCCTATCTCCTAGACCTGGAAGGGGCCTTGAAAGGCCATCGAGTTCAACCCCCTGCCTTCACTAGCAGGACCAAGTACTGATTTTGCTGCAGCTCCCTAAGTGGCCCCCTCAAGGATTAAACTCACAACCCTGCGTTTAGCAAGCCAATGCTCAAACCACTGAGCTATCCCTCCCCCCTTTCACTAGGTAACTCAGAGGAGCAACACGTGTGTTGAGTTTGCAGCCCCGAGATGATCTCTGGATCTCATAATGACTGTAAACTAATTGGAACAAATACCCGGCGGACTCATGCCTCGTGCCACCTGTCTGACATCTAACATGCTGACCAAGGGCACCTGATCATGACTTTCCTACTGGCTGGCTCCAGACATTCTAACTATATTTACAGCCAAAGGCATTACTCCTTTTGCATAAGTGGTGGACGCCTGCGTTTTGGGTGTCGAAGGGCTCAGGTTTGTTCGTGCAAACAGCCACAGCGTCTGTGCGAATGCAACCTCAGTTTGTTACACATGGACCATGAGCTTAAGCGGACGGCTGAAATACCTTGATAGCATGTGAAGCCATCAGGATGGCAAAGCTGGACAGGTGATTACAGGTGCAGGTGGTGTGAGTGCTGTTCGCATGGAGAAGAGTGCAGCCCTCGGTAGACCAGGTGCCAGTGAGGTTCCAGAAAACACAGATAATCTTGTCTTCCATTTCCTTTCTCTGGAAACAGACATTGCAGCACCAGTGTCAGCCTCCTCCTTTATGGAGTTTTGCCCAAACTAAACCAAAGAGGAGCCAGAGCTTGACAGACAGAGCACTGGGTTGGGACTCAGGGGACTGGGATTGGATTCCTAGCTCTGCCATTGACCTGTTGTGCAATCTCTTGAGAAGTCTCCGTGCCTCTGTTTCCCTCCTACCCTTTGTCTCTCTTCTTTGGGACAGGGCCCATGTGTTTGTGCAGTGCCTGGTACAATCAGACTCTGATCTCAGTGTGCCACTATAATAATGGATATCGGTTTCACACCAATATAAGTCCATTGATCTGGATTGGGATAAATGAGAACAGAGTCAACCATCCAAGCCGATGCCCCACTGGTACAAGGTATTGAGGTTTACAAGTTCACCTGGGAATTTCAATGCTTTTTGAAGGCTTTAGGGTGGGTATTGGGGGACCCTTAGCATTCGCCAGTTTTCAATTTTAAGTTGAATTGCCTCCTCATTTAAACTTAATGTGGTGGAGAAGGAAGAGCCAGTGGAAAGATTCAAATTGTAGGGCATCTGTGGTACTGATGGGCAAGGAAGATCATTTTAGCAGGCCTGAAGGGAGGCATTATGGGTACTGGAGGGCCCAGAGAGGAGGCTGCAGTAGAAAGGTGGAAGGTGACCAGAACCATGGTGAAGGCAGAGAGGAAAAGCCAGATTTTTGGGGAAGATGCAGCATCAAGATTTGGACTCATCTTGGGGGTAGAGAGGGAGGCAGAAGGAGTTGAAGATGACCTTCGTCAGTGAGGCCAACTGGAAGAGGACGGCAGTGTTGACAACAGAAGCACAGAGAGAGGACAGTTGGGAAAAGCTCCTGGCCAAGAGGGGTCCCTCTTCCATTTCAAGCAGGGACATGATTGCCAATCACCTGTTTATGCTCCAGGGTGAAGTTGAAAGGTTTGGAGAGGGGTCCGGGTTTCCCAATGGTCCCACTCACTACCTTGGAATTCACCGTAATGCTAACCAGGTTGTCATCCCCTGTCAGGTTTTGCTGGTCGATAAAGTTATTGTTCAGGATGGACTCGAGAGTGGCATATGATATGAAGGCAACGACTCCGGAGCCTGCAGGAGCAAAGATGCAAGAGGTGACACCAGAACAGCCTGTGTCCTGTGTCACACCGCAATGAGCTGGAAGAGCTCTTGGCTGGAGGGTGCAGCCGAACCAGCGATGAGAAGGACACAGGTACGGAGAGATGGAACGGCTTCCCCACGTTCGTGCAGAGTGTCAGTGGCAAAATTGGGACTAGACCCCAGGACTCCTTACTCCCTGCACTGGCCAACGAATAACACTTCCTCCTAGGGGCCCATCGGCCAACCAGGACTCAGCAGAGCATGTTGCACTCCAGCTCTGCTGCCGCTAGTCCCGGAAAATCCACCCCCGTCCTGCTCTGTCCAAACCCTCCAGCCCTGACGTGCCCTCTGCACACGGGAAGCCATAAGGGCAGCACTTAATTTGTGCCAGAGCTGAGCCCTAATACCTCTAGGCTTGGCAGTTCATAGCCCCGGCACCTCCGGGTTTCCTGCATCCGTTATGAAAGTAAAAACTTTGCTTGAGTCCTGGTACCTAATTGCTTGAGTCCTGGCCCCACTTTCATTACAAATTAGGCACTGCACAGAGGGCTGGTGTAAAGCAACCCAAGACCCCCTGGGGAGTCTGTCAGGGCTGCTTTAAGGTCCCTCTGCAGCACTGGAAGATCTGGCCTCAGAGCTGGAGCTGTGGAATGGGTTTGAGAGGTTGGATTCCTTCCGTTGCCTGTCCAGACAACTCCCGGATGGTACCTGCTTCGCTGGCGCCAACCACTGTTGTGCAGTCAATGCTCATCAACTCGTTTTCAGCGTTCAGTTCGATCATCTTCCCTGCCCGACTGCAGTTATCCGTAACCCGCAGGGCTGCGATGGCTGGGGGCGGAAGGACAAGTTCTTCACTGCGCTGCTTTGAAAACTACCCTCCATTTAGCACAGAGCCTGATTCTCCTCCCACTCCCGTGGCGGCAGGGAGCAAGGCTGCGGTAAAACCAGCAGAGCCGAGAGAAGAATTAGGAGCCCGGATTGTCTTTATGTCCTTTGTGCCTTGCACCTAACACAATGGGGCCCTGCTCCATCATGACTGCGGCTCATAGGCACTACCACAATCCTGCTGCTAGCCGAGATCAGAGCCCTGTTGTGCTGGGCACCATAGGCAAATGCAGCAAGAGACCGCTCCTGCCCCAAACAGCAGGAAGGATTTTTCCTTTTTCTTACTCATCGTGTCTCCCGTGATAGTCTGCGTCTCGTTCCCGGGGCTTTTCAGAGCAGCTACCAAAGCGGCTGATTCTACGCTCTGCAGAAACATTTTGGCTACCAATGCAACGTCCTTCTTGCTCCCATTAGTCTGCTGGGCAGTGGCATTGAAAAGCAAATCGATAGAGGTGGAGACTTCCTGGGGTTTAAACAGAAGACACCCTGGGTAAAGCGGGGGCTGTCAAACAGTGGCCCACTGGTTAACAGAGAGATGGTCCCATGGATCCACCATTTATCCTCCCCATTCACCATCACGGAACATCCCAGGGCAGCTACAACTGCTTACATGGATGGGTGATGTTAGGCAGGCTTTGAGGGTCCCCTCCCCATCCACATGCTTCTTATAGTCTGGCCCTCTGCTGCACATGGCTCCCATGCCACCCAGGTACTAGCTCCCATCAAGATACTGCCTCATTATCTTTCTCCAAGACATTCATCACCCACTCTTGGCTGGCAGCTGAAATTCCACTCGCTGTTGGCTCCAGTCTACTCTTCTAGAGTAGAGGCAACTAGGCCTTGTTTTCAGCTGCTTTTAAAGACTCCCCCCGCCCCCCAGGTTCATCTTTGGGAGGAAGTATCTGGAAATCGGTTGCAGCAGCTGGGGACGAAGAGGAGGGACTTTGCCTTGGAGGGCAGGGACTGGCAAATACAGGCGCACAGCCTCTGACCTTCAGCGGTACTGACTGGTTTCCATTGCCACATGCAGATTCCAGGCTCTTTGAGGTCTGATTCAAGAAGGTGCACAATGGGTTGCTTTGCTGGTTTCCCTGTAGGGGAATCATGGAAAAAGGAGTTAATGCTGTAACGTATCTATCTACCCACTCATGGGTGGAAGATGGGTGTCCATGTCCATCCACCTGTTCTGTCCCTCTTAGCCCACGTATCTTTCTATCCATCCTCTCTATCTACCTCTGGCTATTTCTCCATCCACCCATCTTCTCCACCTCTACCCTTCTCTAGGTACCAACTCTAGTCCATTCATCCTCCCTCTCCATCTTTGTCCATCCATACTACCCAACCCAGAAGCAGCACGCACACTGTCTGAGTGAACTACACAAACTCTACACACACAACCCTCACATCCACTCTCTCCCTTTTCCCCTCTTGCCCTGCACACAAAGATGACCTAATTCAGAATCATTCGACACATACGTGCTGGGTGCTGTTGCCGCACAGGCTTTTGAAATCATCTCCGTGCAGAATCCTGGGCTGGCAGCTGAGGAGATTTTCTAGGGAAGGAAGGAGGGAGCCAACATTGGGGCCTCTCTTATAAGGATCAAAACACTTTATGACGGGATCAAAGCATCATTACGCTTCCGGGCACAGAAATGAAACCCAGCAAAGTCCAGTCGACAGAAGAGCTGATGCTAAAGCTAAAGGGATTGGTTTATGGGGCCCAAGAAGGTGGCACCACTCCAGATGCAACTTTCCCCATAACAACAATATGAAGAAATTCCATGGGCGTAGTTGGCTCCCGTATGCTACTGCCTACAAACATACACAAACATGCAAGGCCTAGCTACACACACACTGGTTTGTGGGCAGCTTCTGAACCACAGACGGCAACGAGCGCTACTAGAAGGCTCACAGACCGCTGTGAGCCTTTGGGGCCATCAGGACCTGATTATATTCCCTGGGTTTCCCAAGGCGGTTTGTAGTGACTGGTACCTGTGCAGTTCAAGGTGTGGGAGTCACCAGGTTTCCAAGAGGTCCCACTGGCAGAAGAATAACCTGGAGAACATTGGCAGGTGAAACTCCCTCGGGTGTTGTTGCATTTGTTGTGAGGGCCACAGACTGGTGGGTCCTGAGAACATTCATCAACATCTAAACAGAAGAAAATGGAAACAATTATTCATTAACGTCTATACCAGAAAACACAGAATCTATCATTGTGCAGTCGCTGTGGGGAAGCATGAATATGCCATGTTATGTTTGCTATGCTACGGTAATTACAGTCACACTCTTTGATAGTCCCTTGACTCTGCCCTGGAGAGACCTTGGAGCATAGGTGTGCAAACTACGGCCCGCAGGCCATATCCAGCAGGCGGGACCCTCCTGCCCGGCCCCTGAGCTCCTGGCCCGGGAGGCTAGCCCCCGGCCCCTTCCCTGCTGTTCCCCCTCCCCCGCAGCCTCAGCTCACAGTGCCGCCGGCACAATGCTCTGGGAGGTGGAGCTGCGAGCTCCTGGGGCAGCACAGCCGCAGAGCCTCGGCCTCACCCGGTGCTCCAGGCATCGCGATAAGGGGGCAGGGAGCAGGCGGGGTTGGATAGAGGGAAGATGAGTAGAGGGCAGAGGAGTTTGGGGGGGTGGTTGGGGGGCGGGGGTGTGGATAGGGATTGGGGCAGTGAGGAAGGAGAGGAGGGGTTGAATGGGGCAGCAGGGGGCAGTCAGGGGCAGGGGTTCTGGGGGTGGTCAGGGGACAGGGAGAAGGGCTGGTTGGATGGGGCAGGGGTCCTGGGGTGGGAGTGTCAGGAATGAGAGGAGAGGTTTGATGGCACGATGGGGGGCAGTCAGGGGCAGGGGTTCTGGGGGCTGTCAGGGGACAGGGAGCAGGGGGGGTGGATGGGGCAGGGGTCCCGGAGGTCTGTCAGGGGACAGGGAGTGGTGGATGGGACAGGAATCCTGGAGGGGGGGCATCAGGGGGTGAGAAGCAGGGGGGTCAGATAGGGGTAGGGTGACCAGACAGCAAGTGTGAAAAATTGGGACAGGGGGTGGGGGGTAATAGGAGCCTATATCAGAAAAAGCCCCAAATATCGGGACTGTCCCTATAAAATCGGGACATCTGGTCACCCTAGATAGGGGGCGGGGGCCAGGCCACGCCTGGCTGTTTGGGGAGGCACAGCCTCCACTAACCAGCCCTCCACACAATTTTGGAAACCTGCTGTGGCCCTCAAGCCAAAAAGTTTGCCTGCCCCTGCCTTAGAGTAAAGGACAATAAAGGCCTTGTTATCTTTATAAACCATATGCTCTAATTCAACCAGGTTTTTGAGCTTAAGGTAGGAATGGCTGGGTGGAATTCCCTAGCCTGTGATATACAGGACGTCAGATTATATATTATCACAATAGCCTCATATATCTGAATATGCAGAACAACTGAGTTAACACCCAGGAGTTCTTGTGAGTCCTTCGGATGGAATCCACTGCCAATACAACAGCAATAGAAATATTGCTCATCACACCAGAAAGTCCATTTCAGTTTTCATGCTGGTCTTTTGAAGGTGCCTTGCAAAGGAGCAAACATCTTCAAAAGATGAGCATGGCAACTTAAATTCATAACTCTGCTAGCCACTAAAAATCATGGTCTCAGGCCAGCTCTACAATACAGACCTATAGTGGTAAAATACATTCCTCAGGCTCGATGAAAGCGTAGCCGTACCCTTAATCACTGCAGCATGCTCACTAGTCAGTGGAGTACACTGATACATAACTTTTCTGGCAAGTGCAAGAGCTGGTCCCAATGGCATTACAGCAACCACCATTACTCTCGCCCCATTACAGAGCTTCCGCTCGTTTAGCAGTGCTCTGGAGCTGATACTCACCGACACATTTGACTTTTGGATCAGCGAAGTTTTGCTCCCCAGAAGTAGATGCAAACCCACGTTTGCAGGTGCAGTGGTAGCCCCAAAGAACGTTTTCACAGGTTGCAAAAACAGGACAAGTAGACGAATTCTGACACCTGTCAACTGTGAAAGGAAGAAGGAACCATGTCATTTAAAGAGAGCAATGGATAACCCTTTGCAACTTGTGTTTGACTTCTTCAGTGTGGTTCACATTCATTCATTAAGCTGGTTAATCATGCAGCGAGGGAGAAAGCGTAGACCTAACAGAGCAGGTGGCTGAAATGGGAGGACCAAGGCACCTGGCCACTCTTCTCAAGACATCAGGCAAAGGATCAAGAAAAGGCCTCCATCCCTCTCCCCGGAAGCCAGGAAAAACAGGAGGACATAGGAAGGGTAGCGGTGACACCCTCTACCCAATATTCACCACTTTTATATGGCTATGATCTATGTTGTATAAAGTATGCCCTGTGAGGTATCATTTGGAAACTCATAATCTGCTGAATATTATTATCCTGTTGAAATGTATGTAATAATAGTACATGTGAAATTATGAGATTTTCCTGTCTGATTGTTACTGAAATGTGTTGTAATTCTCAGTAGTACCCATAAACCACTTCCTCAGAGACAAAGACACACTGGCATGCCAGCAATATGCTAAAGAGAAATCCCCTGGATAATCAGAGATTCACCAACTGTGGAGTCGTAAGCAGGAAATTTACACATCAGCTGAAAGACAGTCTGGCGCTCACATACTGCCTACCCACATGACCCAACAAGGGTTTTTCCAATACACAAGGATTGGGGGGTAGGAAGCGGGACAAAAATGTCTGTATCCCCGCTCCTGTCTACCTTATATCTCTCTGCTTATAACATCAATGAATCCTTGAAAAACACTGAACTAAGGGGAGTGGTCCCAGAATGGAAGGAAATCCAGCCTGTGAACTGAGAACTGCTTGCAGCATCTGGAGTGGTGAGAAGAATGTTGGCTTCAAATCTTATTTAGCTTGGTAACGTTTAGGAATTAGCTTGAGGTTTTATATTTGTATTTCATTTGTAACCATCTCTGACTTTTGTGCCTTACCACTTAAAATCTCTCTCTCTCTCTCTCTTTAATAAATATGTTTTATTGTTTTATCTACACCAGTGTGTTTGGGAAACCTCTACTTGAGATAACAAAGGCTGGTGCATAAATATTACCCTTTATTGGAATGTTGGACTATCAATGAGTTTATACTGTCCAGGGGTCTACTGAGCAGTATAAGACACACATTTCTTGGGAGCCAAGGCTGGGAATGGGGATATATGGCTGTTTCCCTGTATCTATTCATGGATGGCTGAGACAGCATTCATGGAAACATCTGGGAGTGATTTTGCAGGCTGGTATCTGTGCATGAGCAGGCCAGGAGTGACTGGTCTGACAGTAAAGTAGCCTAAAAGGAACCCAAGGCTAGAGAGTTAAGGGGACACAGCAATTCAGGTTGCACCCTGGGGAATTTCACAGTAGGAATGAAGGATGGGCTTTGGGGGAAGGGAGGTTCTGATCCTGTGGACAGACAATGAGTTTTAGTCCAGAAACAGACTAATCCCCCGCTAGGGTCACCATTTTGTCTTAAAATCCATGTCTACCAGCAGCAGCAGCAAGAAATAATTTTGAAGGGTTCTGGTTACGTTGCTGTCAGTAAAGATCTTGACTCCAAAGCTCAATGCATGGCCATCGTTGCAAGCATAAAAGTAACTCCAAAGGTCATGGTGTGAGTGGCCTGACAAGGGCAAGATTTCCTGCTGAGACACTCATCCACGCCTAGGGAGTCATGCAGAAATAAGGGAACCAAGCCTGGCCAGATGCTGGGTGGGGACTCAGAAGAGCTGGAATCTTGGCTCCCATTCCAGGCCCTGGAGAGGAGTGTCCACTAGTGGGCACAAACTCTTCTGTATTCTCAGACCCAAGCTTGGCTCCTTCATCTTCATCCTCGTCCCCAATTTGTCCCTGTCCCAGTGCTGTCTCTTCCCATCTCTGGTTCTTGTCCTTGTCCTAATCGGAATGCCTCAGGTGTCTCATCCCAGTCCTGGTGTCCTTTCTCAGCCAGTTCCCCTGCACCCAATCCTCCCCTCGCCGTCCCGGTCTCCTTTCCTAGCCAGTCCCAGTTCCCCTGCATCTCGGCTCCTCATTCCATTTGATTCTCTCCTCCCCTCTTCGTTTCCAGCTGTGCCCACTGCCAGCCCCCCAACATTCCCCAGTCCCACAGAGTCCCAGTTGCAGTGTCCCTCCCCAGATACTTAGTCCAATCTCACTGTTGTTCCCCCAGACCAGCTTCCCCCTGCACCCTGTTGCCTGGACAGATCTGTCTCCCCGCCCTACTTCCACACACTGGTTGCCAGTCCCAGTTCCATCCCACCACTCGCACCTGCTTGGCTACCCTCTATTGTTAGCATGCTAGCTCGATGTAAGTGTAGACGTACCCTTAATCCCTGTAGCATGCTCGCTAGTCAGTAGAGTACACTGATCCATAACTTTCTGGCAAGTGCAAGAGCTGGTCCCAATGGCATTAGAGCAACCAACATTACAGTCGCTCAATTACAGAGCTCCCGATCACTTCGCTGGGCTCCGGAGCCGACACTTACCAACGCACTTCACTGTTGGATCAGTGAAGTGTTCCTCCAAAGAACTAGATATAAACCCAGGTTTGCAGGTGCAGTGGTAGCCCGTGGTGATGTTTTCACAGGTTGCAAAAGAAGGACAAGTAGTCGAATACTGACACATGTCAGCTGTGAAAGGAAGAAGGAATCATTCATTTAAAGAGAGCAACAGATAACCTTTTGCACCTTTTGTTTGACTTCCTCAGTGTGGTTCATGTTCATTCATTAACCTAGTTAATCATGCAGCGAGGGAGAAAGTGTGGACCTAAGAGAGCAGGTGGCTGAGTTGGGAAGACCCAGGCAGATGGCTACTCTTCTCAACACATCAGGCAAAGGATCAAGAAAAGGCCTCCATCCCTCTCCCCTGAAGCTAGGGAAAACAGGAGGACATAGGAAGGGTAGCTGTGACACCCTCTACCCCATGTTCACCACTTTTATATGTCTATGATCTATTTTGTACAAAGTATGCCTCGTGTGGTATCATTTGGAAACTCATAATCTGATTAATGTTATTATCCTGTTGAAATGTGTGTAACAAACACTACATGTGAAATTATGAGATTTTGCTGTATGATTATTACTAAAATATGTTGTAATTCCTGGGTAGTACTCATAAGCAAGTTCCTCAGAGACAAGGACAGACTCGCATGCCAGAAACATGCTAAAGAGAAATCTCCTGGTTAATCGGAGATTCGCCAACTGGGGAGTTCTCAACAGGAAATGTATGAAAGACAGTTTAGTGCTCAAATACTGCCTACCCACAGGACCCAGCAAGTGTATTTCCAGCACACAAGGATTGGGGTGTAAAGAGGGGGACAAAAATGCGTGTAACCACCTCTCCTGTCTATCTTATCTCTCTCTGCTTATAACATCAATGAATCCTTGAAAAACACTGAACTATGGGGAGTGGTCCTAGAATGAAAGGAAATCCAGCCTGTGAACTGAGAACTGCCTGGTGTGGTGAGAGGGATGTTGGCTTCAAATCTTATTTAGCTTGCTCAGGTTTAGAAGTTAGCTTGAAGTTTTATCTTTTTATTTCTTTTGTAACCAGTTCTGACTTTGGTGCCTTACCACTTAAAATCATTCTCTCTCTCTCTCATTAATACTGTTTTATTGTTTTATTTAAACCATTTTGTTTCATTGAAGTGTTTGGGAAACCTCTACTTGAGATAACAAAGGCTGGTGCATAAACATTACCCTTTGTTGGACAGTCGGACTATCTATGAGCTTATACTGTCCAAGAGTCTACTGAGGAGTATAAGACGACATTTCTGGGGAGGCAAGGCTGGAAGGATACACCCA